CTACCGCATGAAAGAACTTTGAGGACATTTTGCCTCAAAGATTTGAAAACAGACAAATATTTATATATGAATGCTCACACTCATAGTGGCACATTTTGTATAGTCAAATTGGTGGAAGGAATGCAAATGTCCATCAACTAATATATAGAAAAATACAGTGTTATACCCATATAACAGGACATTATTCAGACATTAAAAAAATTAGTTACTAATACACAATGCAGTGAAGATGAGCTTCAAAAGCATTATACCAAGGGAAAGAAGCTGATATAAAATCTTAGGTACTATATGATTTCTTTTATAGGAAATATCCAGAATAGTTAAATTCTAAGCGAATGATAGAAGACTAGTGTTTACCAGGGTCTAGGGAATCAGGAACTATGTGCCAATGCTTAATGGATATGGGATTTTTTAAATGAGGTTATAAAAGTATCTTGGAACTAGATAGAGGTGATGATTGAACAGACTGTGAACATACTAAATATCTCTGAGTTACACACTTTCAAATGGTCATTGAATAATTATTTCTTCCATGACTTTTACCTCAAAAGACTTGGGATCTCAAAACAAAATATTCAAAGCTCCAAAGGTACAAAATATTTTACTGAAGTGTACACAGAGTCAGAAAAGTCTCAAAAATTCTAAAGGAGAAAAGAATCAAGGGTAACAACCTTAAGGTGACCCAGATGTTGGAATTCACATACTTCAAAGCAGCTACCATAATCATGCTCACTGAAGGAAGCTGGGGGACTCTCTCAAAGTGAATAGAAAGATGGAAGTCTCAAATAAGACCTAGAGTTTATTTTAAAAGTTAAGTGAAAAGTTAAAGCTGAAAAGATACAATATCCGAAAGATAAAATAACCATTGAATAGGCTCCATAGAATAGAAATGACAGGTGAAGGGTCCTGAAAATCAAAAGTAGGTCAATAGTTTTACCCAATCTGAATAACCATGAGGAAAAAATTAAAAATAAATAAACATAGTAGGGACCTATGGGGCAATAGCTATATGCGTAATATTTGCATCTTTAAAATCTTAGAAGAGGAAAAAGATGGATAAAGAAAAAAATATTTGATAAAATAATGGTCCAAAACCCATGGTAATAAAAAAAGGATTTATAGATTTAGGATGTTCTGCAAAACTAATGGTTAAATTAAAAGAAAAGCATACCTAGATACAACATAACTAACTTGATAAAAGCAATTGATTAAAAGAAACTTTTTTGAAAGCATCCCAAGAAAAGTTATCCTTTATAGGAAGTGAGCAATATTGAATAAATGCACAGTTTTTGTCAGAAATCATGCAGACCAGAAGGAAGTATAAAAACAAGTTTTGAATACTAAAAGAGAAGAAATGCTAATTCAAAATTTCATATCTAATGAATATATCTTTCATAAATGAGTGTTAAATAAATAAATTCTCAGAAGACAGGAAACAAAGGATCTTACCACCAGGAGACTTGCTCTAAAAGATGCTAATGGATGTTCCTTAGGAAAAAGAAATCACAGTATAGAAAAATTTGGAAACTTCAGGAATGAAGAAAGAAAAACAGAAATGGTGAATAGCTAGGAAAATCTAACAGACTATTTTATCTTACATCTTCAAAATGCATTTGATTGCCAGCAGCAAAAATTAACATGCCATCTAGAAAGATTCTTAATGTGTGCAAGATGTGATCCATAGTACAAGTGAGGCAAAAAGTAGGGGCAGGCGTTGTGGCCTAGTACATTAAACCACTGCTTGAGATGCCCACATGCCATATTAGAATGACTATGTTCAAGTCAGCTCAGTTCTCCATCCCAGCTTCTTGCTAATGTACACTTTGAAAGGCAGCAGGTGATAGCTTAAGTAGTTAGGTCCCTGCAACTCACACGGGAGAGCAAACTGAGTTCCTGGCTATTGGCTGAAGCGTGATTTAGCCTCAGGTGTCGCGGGCATTTGGGAAGTGAACCAGTGGATGGGTCCCTCTCCCTCTCCCTCTCCTTCTTTCCCTCTAGCTCTCTCTTCCTCTCCCTCCCTTTCAAATAAATAAAAACAAATAAACTTCGAAAAATTTTAAAAATGGGAAGGTAAGAAGACACATATGTTTATACATTTTTATGTTTCACTTGAAGTGATAAAATATTAATTATAAGGACATTATGAAACATACCTATGCATGTAAATTTTAATCAGAGAGCAAAGTCTAATAAAACAAAAGCAATACCCCAAAACTGTACAATGAAATATATCAAAAAGTAGATTGATCAATAAAAATGGAATATTCAAATAAAAGACAAAAAAATCCATACTAGTTTAGAATCAGAAAACAAAGGAATGGAAAGGAGAAAGGATAAATTGGAAACAAAAAAGGCATACATAAGATCAAATAAGTCAATAATTTTTTAAAATGCAAATGGTATAAACACACTAATTTAAAGACCGATAAGCATGCTTGGGTTCAAAATGAGAAAAAAATTAATTTTATGCTGTCTGTAAGGAACCCTACACATTTAATATAATAATATAGATTGACAGGTAGTTAAAGAGATGAAAAAGTTTGCCAGGCAAATATGACAAAAAAAAATCGTGGAATTGCTATATTAATGTCAAAGTGGATTTCAGATAAAATAATATTCCCAGGGATAACAAAGAACATTTTCTAATTATAAATATGTCAATTCATCAAGGGAATATAACAATCCTAAGTAGTTAGTACCTAATAACAGGGCTTCAAATTTCATGAATAATAAAAAGATAAAAAAGATAGAACAGAAAGAAGACATCTAAAGTAAAGTCACAATTATACTTCAAGATTACAACATTCTTTCTTCAGTAATTGGAAGAACAGAAAGACATAAAATTGGCAAACTTAGAAGTCTATAACATTTCAACAAACTTGACCTAACTGACATTTATAAAATACATCAGTAACAGCACAATACACATTATTTTCAAGAGCTCATGGAATATCGAACAGTAAAGATAAATTGTGGGCCATAAAATTACTATCAGGAAATTAAATTGCTGAACTCAGATAATGTGTGTTCTTTAACTATAAAAATTAATATAATATCAATAACAGGAAAATATCTTGAAAGTGTCCAGATATTTGGATACTAAACAACACACTTGTAAATAATTCATGTCTCAAAGAGGAAAGGCTCAAGTGAAATGAGAAAACAACTTGAACTAAATGAAAATAAAGTACATAAAATTTGTATGATGTGGTAAAGCAATACTCATTGGGAAATTTCTAGCACTAATGATTTACAAGGATTTTAGAAAACAAGAAAATCTCACATCCATTATCTGAGTTTCCAAATTAAAGCTCTACACAAAGAATGGAAAATTAAATCCAAGTGTTACAAGAAATGAAAACACATAAAAGCAGAAATAAATGAAATTGAGAAAATATAATAATATTTGATGAAATTAAATGCTGGTGTTTTAAAAAAGATCAATAAAATTGATGAATCACTTAATACATTGACCAGGAAATAAACATAGAAAATACAAATTACCAAGATGAATGACACCATTGAAAGCTATAAGGGAATATTATAAATAATAGTATGTCTATATATTTACATAGAATTTTGGAGTCCTTAGAGATGAAACTACAAAGTTTTGGAACCACACATTGAGCCCAGAATTCCAGTGGAGTCTGTGCTGCCTGGGAAAATAAAAGGATACAAATAGTTCAAATCCCAAATCCTGATTCAGCCTTTTCCTCACTCTGATTGGCCCACTTTGCCACCCACTGAAAAGTACCACAGCCATGTTTGTTGACTGGAAACATAATCCAGATTTGAATGCACTTTTTATAACTTGGAAGTCTTTGGAAATGGCCTGCTTACCATGATTCCTAACTTAAAGTCTGGAAAACTTGATAATATCCTATTACTCAACTTGGTGCTGTAGACAGAACTGATTGTTTATTGGCAGTATTTCCTAATCATTCCAAATACAGGGGGTCTTTAAAAATTTCATGGAAAATGCATACTATGAAAAATTATGTATGTAACTAAAAAAATGTTTGCACCAAAATAGTCTTTTAATTCCATTTTCCCACAAACTTTTTGAAGTACCTTGATGCATTTGCATAGTGAAATTTCAGCAATCTATTGTGAACACTAGAAAATTATGTAATAATAGTACATTATTTACAAAGCTAAATTTAGTTTACATAACTTATTTTATTTTCAGATTATATATTTCCCATAGAATCCGTAATCATAAGAACCCTTAGGATTGGCTGGATTTTGCTTCACTATCTAATTCCTTTCCCCATGGTTTTGAGAGCTAAGCCCTCCTCTTGATATTTCCTATCACCTTGCGCTTGATTGAGTTCCCTGGCTATGACTGGTTCCTATGTCTGCTGTCAATTATATTTTCTAAATATTTGGGGGGCATGCCACTAACTTTCCCCCTTGGTATTATACCAACCCCCTTGTAATTCAATTCTTGTCTGAAATTGTTTTTTTTTTTTTTTCACTCAGAAATATTGGGTCTTCTTTGGAATATTGCATCCAAATATCCAGTTCTTATTTTGAGACTCATTTTTTTTTTCATTTCTGCTTTTCAGACTGTAACCTTTGCTTTTTTCTACATTTATTGGGTTCTCTCTCCCTGTAGTTATTCTGACTCTGGCAAGCCTAAATAACTAAGTCCAACTACTAAGTTCAACTACCTTGGTGAAGTGCTGAGAGCAGAAGGTAACTCTGGAGGCATTCTCTGTACAGCCAGTGAAGTCGCATGTGACTCTGTTGATCCTTGAGCCAGCTAATGCAGCTTAATGTGGATTTAGTGGCCCTGAGCTTATAGATCCACCATGGACCCACTACCTCCTTTAAACCAAGGTCATAGCACTCAGTGGTCTCCATCTACTAAATACATTTTACAGAGTGCCTTCCTAATGATGTAGCTCAGTCTCTGCTTCCTTAAAATGCAGATTTATGTCTCTTCAGCGAAGGAGGGTATTTTTCTGGTGTCTGGCATGATGAAGTGGGCTGGGAGATGGGACATCCTACATATGCAACCAGCCAGCCCCCTCTTGGTATGAAATAGGGATTTCTTGGCAGCACTATGCAGGATGTTCAACCTTCCTGCCCATGTGAAGGTTAACTGCTGCACCATGAACTTCTGCTTCCTGTTGAGGGACTCACCGCTGATCGATCCATGCTTCACTGTGTGAACGATGTCATGAAAGCCTCTTCTGCCTGATCTTCTCTTCCTGTTGAACTGGCCATAATTACCAACAGTCTAAGTGAACTAGAAGCTTTCCGACTAGCAGCTCACCTCTTTCTGAAATCTAAACCCTGTATCTCAAAACTATCATTTCTCACCAACTTAATCAAAAGGAGAAAAACCTGACAGTTACAGGTGTCAAGATGTTTTCTGAGTTACAACCACCCTCCAGGGTATACCCTGACTCCCTGTAAATAATAGAAACAGGTTTCTTATGCTACAGTGGCAGCAAAGATGGATGCAAGACCCTAGATGACCTGTATGCACTTTTTTTGGGTAAAGTTATCCCACTTGAAATTAATTATCCCACATGTATCACAAGTTAATTGCTCAAAATGCAGGCCTAGAAGCATCGTCCTGAGATCTTTAAACAGACTTATTTACTTATTAAAAAAGATTGAGAGAGAGTAAGAGAGAGTGACACACACACACATACACACATACACACATAGAGAGAGAAGGAGAGCGAGAAAGAGACGAGAGAGAGAGAGAGAGAGAGAGAGAGAGAGACAGGAAGAGAGAGAGAGATTTCCTATCCATTAGTTCACTTCCCAAATGCCCACAGCACCTTGGGCAGAAGCCAGGAGCCCAGAACTCTTTCTGGGTCTCTCACATGGGTGGCAGGGGCCCAAGTACTTGGATCATCTTCTGTTGCTTCCCAGATGCATTAAGAGGGAGCTGGATTGGAAGCAGAGCAACTGTAACTCAAATCAGCACTCATATGGGATGCCAGCATCCCAAGTGGTGGCTTAGCCTACTGCACCACCAAGCCAACCCCATATCTTGAGATTTGAGATTCTGTGACTATGCAGTGTAACCACCACATACTGAAATAAACTCAGCTAGAGAAAGATTCTATCATTCTTGTTGATTCAGCTAAGCAAATTTTGCCTACGTACTGCTCATCTGAAGGTTCTTAACCTGAGAATTTTCTACCTGTAAAACTTTGCGAGCCTGAAGTTCTGCTAGGAATTGACATCTGTGGGGATTAATTACAATCTATAAACATCCCCTAAGACAACCCCACCACCCATATTCCCTGGAGCTTTCCATATGATTTCTTATGAAGCGAGTTCCTTTCAAGCTGACCTCAAGGCATTCCTTATGGATGCATGCCAAAGATTTCCATGTCTGTGTTGACACTTTCTATAGAGTTGGATGGAAGCCTCCACAATTTTATGTACCATAACTAGTAGAATGAGATAAGGATTAAAAAGAAATTATGCATATTTTTCTAGAGTTCTCTGCCTAACTAAATAGATATAAATGAATATTTCTGCTATATTTATACTTTTATGACTATTCTTTCAGTAGTGGCGGAAAAGAAAGGATGCAGGCAAGGAAATAAGACATAATTGTGGCTTTATGTAGCTATATTGTCTGATTTTGCTTTTGGCTTTACTTAATTACATTAAGTGTGTCCTTAATCTGATAGTCTATTTTTTTATTCCTGTAGTTTCATGAGAGGCAGAGAGACCAAGAAAGACAGAGAGAGGAAGAGACAGATATAGACAGTATTCCCTTCCACTGGCTCACCCCCAGAACAGCAGTGAGTCAGAGGCTGAAGCCAGAACCAAGACTCAATTCAGGTCTCCCACGTGGCTGTCGGGAACTCAGCTACTTAAGCCATTACTGCTGCGGCCCAGGGTCCAGGTTAACAGAAAGCTGGGAGTCTGATGTAGAGTCCAGTATCAAAATCCCAGGCCCTCCAATACTGGTGCCTTAACTGCCAGGCTGCCCCTGGTACTTTATTTTCATAGGAAAAAAATAAAATCCATTTGACTATGTCTTTGATATAAAGTGATTTCTAAGTCAATAAAATAAAAAATAATCTTAAGAAGCCCATCTTTTATTCATAATTTAGTCTTGATGATACTTGTAATATCAAAATTTGCTACTCTCCTAAGTTTTTGAATGATTAGTGACATGGCCATTCAGACATGCCAATTTTCGGGAAAACTAAAGTAAAATGCTAAAGGATCTTTTGAATAATTATACTCAGTGATTAATTTAATAGCATGCTCATAAATACTAAAATGCAGTATTTCATTTTAATGTAGGTTTCATCAAAGATTAATATTCTAAGTAATGAATGACTTATTTATGACCAAGTAAATCATCATCACCAATATTTCATTGACCACTGTTTCCACCTTCTCTTGGTGAATTATTAATTTCCATGGAATTTGATGGGCTACATTATTTTAAACTAAACACAGGATGTAACATATAAAATCAATTATCATGGAAAAGCTTGGCCTAGTAGTTAAGACACTGCCTGGGATGTCCTCATTTTTTCTTGGAGTGCCTAGGTTTTAATCCTGACTCCTGGTTTCAGCTTTCTGTTAATGCATACTCTGGGAGGTAACAGGGGATGGCTCAAATACTGTACCCACATGGGAGACCTGGATTGAGTTCTGGACTCCTAGCTTTGGCCTGCCCAGCCCTGGTTGTAATGGGCATTGGGAGATGAAACTGTGAATGGAAGATATTTCTTTATTTCTCTCTCTCTCTCTCTCTGTCTCCCTCTCTCTGCCTTTCAAATGGATAAAATACAGAAATAAAATTAAAAATATATAAAACCAATTCCCTTCTATCTTAAATTAATATTTATGAAACAATTATCAAAGTCCAAATCAGTAGCTTCCGATTCTAGTATCATAAACATCTGTCAGGAACCAGGCAGAGTCCTTAAAACATCATGTAGCAACCATGCTTTAAGACCACTCAAGGGGCCGCCACAGTGGCGTAGTGGGTAAGGCTGTCGCCTGCAGTGCCCAAATCCCATGTGAGTGCTGGTTGGAGTCCTGGTTGCTCCATTTCCCATCCAGCTCTCTGCTTTGGCTTGGAAAAGCCCAAGTCCTTGGGCCCCTGCACCCATGTTGGAGACCCAGAAGAAGTTCCTGGCTCCTGGCTTTGGATTGGCACAGGTCAGGCCATTGTGGCCATCTGGGGAGTGAACTGGCAGATGGAAGACCTCTCTCTCTGCCTCTGCCTCTGCCTCTCTGTAACTCTGACTTTCAAATAAATAAATAAATATTAAAAAAAGACCACTCAAAGCAGCATTTAATTTGAAGAAATAGTATCTCTACCTTTTAGTCAAATTACCTTAGGAACAATTGTTTGTGAACTGGTAACCTCTACTCACATCTGTTTTCTCTAGTTATCAATCCTTTGGGTTACTTGCAGTAATCACCAACAGCTTGGAAACACATCTCTCAATGAACCACTGCCTCTGACCTTGAATGCCCCTATGTTTTCTTTTTATATCATGGGTTAAAATCAATACTGACTAATTTTCGTATGCCTAATTTGTAAACATCCCCACATCCTAAACTATTATGATTTTTTATTTATTTACAATTCAGACAGTTCACTCTGCAGAATTATGAGAACAGATTAACAGTGGGTAATTTTAAAGCAAAATAGAAACTCCTTCCAAAGTTTTTAAAGGGTTCTAGAAAGTGACATTGATCCATAGCTAAAACTCCATATACACACACACATATATACTTATACATATATACAAATGTTAAGTTAAGGTTTAAAGTTAAATTAGTATTATTTAAAAATATTTTTCAGGTCCATTGTTGTGGCACAGAGGGTTAAGCCTCCAACTGCAATGTTGGCATCCCATATGGGCTCTGGTTCCACTCCTGCTGTTCCACTTTTGAATCAGATCCCTGTTAATTCACCTGGGAAAGTAGCAGAAGGTGACCCAAATATCTGGGATTCTGCCACCCACACGGGAGACCCAGATGGAGTTCCAGGCTCATGGCTTCAGCCAGGCCCAGCCCTGGCTGTTTTGGTCATTTGGGGAGTGAACCACTGAATGGGAGATCTCTCTCTGCCTTTCTAATAAATAATTAAATCTTTAAAAACAATAGAAAAATTTTCTCTAAAACTTTCTCAAATTTCTTTTTTATCATTTATTTATTTGCAAGGCAGAGTGACAGGGAGAGAGGGAGAGAGGGAGAGGGAGAGGGAGAGGGAGACGGAGAGCGGAGGGGGAGAGAGAGAGATCCATCTTCCACCCACTGGTTTACTCCCCAGGGTTCACTGCAGGGGCAGGGGCAGGGGCAGGGGCAGGGCCAAGGCCGAGCCGAAGCCAGGAGCTAAAACTCCATTCAGATCTCCCATGTGGGTGCAGGGGCCCAAGCACTTGGGGCCATCTTCCACTGCTATCTCAGACTCATTAGCAAGCAGCTGGATCAGAAGTGGAGCAGCTGAGACTCAAACCAGTGCCCATATAGGATGCCAGCATTGCAGGTAGCATCTTAACCCACTGTGCCAAAACACCAGCCCCTCAAAATATTTTAAAAAATTGGAAATATGTTAATGTGTTTCAGGAGTCCAGTATTGAAGAAACCTTTATATTTTCTAACACAAAGTCTCTGAGCCAGAGAGCTAGGAAGGATGAAACTCAGGTATGGTTGAAGGAATGATTGCTAGGCATGATTTAGTCTTATGTTCAAGGCTGTTGTTTGAAGTTATCAGAGATAGGTTGGGAATTGAAAACTATTCCAGGCATACAAAAAAGTTACTGCTTTAGCTGTATAAGAAAAGCATATTAACAAGGATAGCCATTAGCTTTCATCAAAAACAACATTGAAAAAATAGACAAATTTATACAGCATTTCACCTTACCACAAAGAAAATTTAATCAGGAACTTGAACATTTGAAGTTTAATTTCATTATGTACTGAAATCTTCTATTTTCAATATGAATCAAAAGTCTCTAACTCAAATAAACAGAACAAACATGTAGGCATGTGAATTCCACACTACACAAACATTCACTTTTCACAAAGCTATTGATTAGGTCTACATTGAGTCCTTCTATTCCTTTGT